GGTACAACTACAGACAATCTTAAAGGACAAATATTATCAACGTTTCACTTCTCATTGTTAGTAAATGTTTATTACATTTAATGAAAATATATTATATGTTTTAAATTATATATATTGTTTTTGTTTGTTTTTGTTTTAGAAAATTTTACTCTATCTGGCTGAACAGCCATTTTGGGTCAAGCTCTGCTGTTAACTGACCAAATGCTGCCTAGCCTAACTTGCCTGCTGCTGTGATTGTTCTGTGTGAAACTGCAGCAACAGAAAAGTAAAAAAATATAGAATTGTTTCATTCAATTTAATAAACTTTTTTTTTTTAAATTGAGGACAGTTGCCCTTTAAATCCATTGTTTTATTGTTAAAGTAACACTCCCGGCACCATAACCACTGCAGTTCGTTCTCAGCCAATGAGCTAAGCCCTGACATAAACCACCATGTGTGAGATGTATATTTGCCCAACACATGACTACTTGACACTGTCACACATTAAACGGTGTAAATCAAGTGAACAGAGAATTATATATATAAAAAAGGTGTATATCAAACATTTTCATGACAAATTCATTTAAACCCAGTTAAATGTGCTGATTACATTAATTAAATTATTCATCAGTGATTCTTAGACTGGATCTGTCACTTGTACATTCCACTTTACGGAGGAACTGCGGCTCTAGCAGAATTACTAATGAATATGTTGAAATTCCCGTTAGTTAATAAACATTTTTGGGAAGCAGAGCGATTTGTTAAATCTGCTAGTCTAGTATAGTAATATTTTTTTTAATACTGTTTCCCTGCATTTATACTCTGTCTCCTTGTCGTGTCAGTGGAGTGGCTAGACTTAAGACTTAATGTTAGTGAATAGTTAGAGTACAAGTCAAAGATCACTAAGCAAAAACTCATCTTAAGGTATGTTCAGCTCTATGCCAATTGGCCAATATAGAAATTATATATATATATATATATATATATATATCTTTGCGTGTAGATGTAATACAAGGAGTACAAAAACTGCCTTGAGGTGTTAACGATATGGGTGGTCATTGCCTCCACTAGCATGAATGAAAGTAAATTGAGCATATAATCTTGGAAACGTGTCTAGGAGAAGCTGGTAGTTAAATGTATGTCTAAATTGGCCCTTTACTTTCCCACCTAATAAAAGCTTCTTCTTTGCTCATGTTCGCATACAATATTTGAAAATACCTGGGTTTAAAGAACCTGTACAAAAAGACATCTCCTGGAAAGCCTTGGCAACATACTGATTTATCATAACATCATAAACTTTCTCCTGGAACCTGACATGGAGAAACTATTTTCTACAAATATCATAGAGAATAGAAGATATTTGCATATATGAAATTTCTCAAGCTTCCATTCCTGACATCAGGGGGTACAGATTAGACATCAGCCAAACTGAAAAACTGTCCGGTGGGCTAAAATGACCTTCGTTCAAGGGTTGGCGGGGATTGATTTTAGGATTATAGAAGTCAAGACTAGGAAACCAAGCTGGAGTCTGAAACTTAATATATCAAATACACAAGGAATGCACTATCAGGTGCATATGAACCAGGACAAGGCAATGAACCAGTGCTAAAATGGAGGTTATATACCATGTAGTGAATTGCTATTGGTTAGCGTCTTGTGGCATTGAAAAATGCTGCAAGGAAATAGATGGAGTTACAATTTTATACATAAGAATCTTGCCCTTGTCTTGGATTTGAGATAGTAGGTAGCACTGTGAATCACAAAGGAGATTTAAATAAACTACAAACTATATGTCATTTTATAATCTCACAGAAAGGCAAGGATGGGCATGATCCTCTGATGTAGCCAGAGGGGAGAGATCTAGAAAATTCTCTTTATAACATCCTCCAGAGGATCCTGGACTAGAAAACCTACCTGACCGCAGTGGATGTCAGGCAGGAAGATAGCGCAAAAAGATAATTATATCCCTGTGGATATCAGAAGATGTAGGTACGGATAGTGCTGAGTGAGCTCTGTTCCAAAACAATTGTCCCTAAACTGGTCAATCCCGGAAGTCATGATCTTCCAAAAATTTAGCTAATTCCAGTTCATGTTTTTAGATTTAAACCTATTGAATCTAATAATTTAAGGGTTAAAATTTAGTCCATGCAGATTGGTTGTTCAACAAATTTCTTCATCTTCAAAAAGTCACAACTGGTTCTGTGATGGAATATAACAAAATATGCAGACTAGATTTTTCAATAAGGGAGATAAGTAGACATTAATGTGACTCCAAGTCTAAGAGGCAGGGGGAAATCAAAGCACAACCGCGCCATGAGTTAATACAGTAGACACAAGCAAAACAGTCATTTCTGATGCAAAGTACAACAAGGAAAATCATATTTGGTAAGCTGCTTTAGTGATCTGGTCACTTTTATAAATATTTATGTTCACATTTTCGGTGAATATATTTCACTTGTGATGGCATTTATATGAGTCAACAAGTTGCTGAAGTTCTCATTTCATCTATATTTCTTTGGTAGGCTATAATCACAGCTCAACGTTGAAGGCAAATATGGATACCATAAGGCAATAATATCTGGGGAGCCAATGATTGACATGTGTGATCAACACCATTACAATTCGCATAATGATTTGAGAAAACTAAGGTTAGTGACAATATTAAGCCTAATTATTTAGTATTAATATTGTGTTGTGAATAAGGATGTCAAATAAGAATACATAAATGTTAAAAAAAAAAATCCGTAATTCATATAAAACATATTTAGTTTTATTCAATCATTTGAGGGCTAAGCGTATTTCTCACTTTTTTTCCTAGCAGAAATATTCACATTATTATTAGCGAAAAGTCCAAAGAGATCCTGCACTTGGATCTCCTTGACTGATGTCCAGTAACGACCCTTCATGTTTCAGGCCATACTCATTATTATGGATTCTTATTTCAAAGTCTGTCATTACTTTCACAGGAAATTGTCTCTCCCGAATGCAATACTTTTCAACATAATGACATATTTGGCCCAGAGCTTCTAAATCAAACTGAATATGGATTATGATAGTTGACATTTTTGCAATATGCTAGTGAACAGCCACCAGAAATTGTTCACATTCAGGACTTCTAATAACGCTTTGAAGCAAGTGTTACTATTTCATGAAGAAAAGACATGCTATGGATCACGGCAAGCCCATGGGTCCTTGGTGCTCTAGGCAATTTTGATTTTGGCGCTTTGACCATAAACCTTGTTTATTATATTTCCTTGAATATGACATGTCCAGGATGAAAAAAAGTGTTCCCTCCAGCACATAGTCCTCTAACCTTATTCAGTTGCCTTCTTCATCCCGAAAAGACATGCCAGCCATCTTGTTATTATTTTTATTATGCCATTTATATAGCGCCATCACATTCCGCAGTGCTTTACAGTGGGTGGACGAACAGACATGTAGTTGTAACCAGACAAGTTGGACACACAGGAACAGAGGGGTTGAGGGCCCTGCTCAATGAGCTTACATGCTAGAGGGAGTGGGGTAAAATGGCACAAAAAGGTAAGGATAGTGTTAGACATACATCACAAAAGATAACCTTTGATTTTTATTTCGGATTCTAAATTACAAATCCGATTCTCTCTTAGGGTTACCATTCTCAATTCTTTCCATTTTCTCCTTCCGCAATAATCTCACAGACTAATCTGAGTGAGCACAGTACAGCAAATGTTTGCCCTTTAAATTTATCTTTGACAAATGCTAATTTCGTGCTTGTTTCCCGCCCCCAGTAATAATTGTCCTTCCACACCCTGCTGATTTCACTGCTATTGTTTTGTGTTTTTTTCCCCCATGTGCACAGTTAAATATGGGTGGCGTACTGATTTTTTAAATTAAGCATGCTACAATTTTCACATATGCATATTTAACATTTAAGGCTTGTATAAATTTGATTAATGATTATGTTTCAAGTTTGTGCTTCATTGCCGAACATCAGTTATGACATGGGAGCGAACGCATTGAAATTCCAAACCTGCAACAGACTGTGTTTAGTTATTCAACATTCATCTAAACATGTCGAAAGGGCAAGTTGGCATCTGTGTTTAGTGTCTAAACATGTATGAATTCAGTTCTTGAGCATGTCGAAAAAAACAAGCATTTGTTGGGGTAAGAAAGCCTTATTAATGTACCATATGGACTTGAAGCTATATTTGATGAGACAGGATGGTGCAGAGAATAGTTCATAAACTCGCTATTTATATAAAAAAAAATTATTTCTTGAACTGTGTATATTTTAAGCAAGTCCAAACCAATGCTTTTTTTTTTTAGGTATTTGAGTATTTCTTTTTTCAGTTTTGTTAGATGTAATCCAAATGAATGCATTTTGGATCAAATGTGAAATAGATGTCTGGTTAGTGTCAATATTTATACTAATAAAATTGGAGACATGTTCTCTGCTAAAGTAATATTTGATTGCTTGCAGACAATAACGTAACAGAAATATAAGTAAAACTGTCAGAATCCAACATGGAAAGGAGGAAAGAAAGTTTCTAATAGCTGTTATTTAGATATTTAAATTATTTTTCTTTTAGTTTTTTTCAATAAAAATTCCAATTAAATTAAAACCTCCATTTCTGGAAAAGATATATCAATATATAAAAGAGCCAGGTTTGGAATGTAGATGAGTTGAACATTTGTTTCCCAATTTAATTAGTATTGATCTTTAATTTTGCAAGCTCTTGTTTTTTAATTCACCACAATTAACTATTTTAGGGAATTTCCTATTTTTTGCAAAGTGGCTGTTTATTTCTGAACTAGTTATATAATCAACACTATAGAAGTGAAGGGGAAGGTCAGCTGTGTATACAGAAAGATCCCAGAGAGCCCCATTTGCTTGTAGATTGCTAATGGGATACATGACATTTTGGCATGTCCATATTTTTCTCTGTTGCCCCACTGCAAGTCCTTAACAAGGCAACTTAATTAAGCTTGCCTTAAGATGCAGTTTATTTTTCCAATTGAATTTATTTTAAAAGGGGGGGCGGGGCCTGACGGCCATGCCGGAGGGACGCATCCCGAGTGAGTTCCGGCACTTACACTGCTATTTTGCACTTAATCTGCTGTCTATACCCCCCACTGATGACTCTATTTACCCCTATTATGCTCCTAAATCGAGTGGGGATGTTCCTAAGCATGTGCGATGTCCCTGGGTGTTCACACCAGTGGAGAGCTAGCTCAGAGGCCTGGTGCGCTTGGAGGGGTGGAAAAGCGGCCGATCTCAGCTCCAGGTCCGCGTGGCTGTTAGATGTCCCATTTTCCCCCTTTTGGACTGGCAGGGGTGATCCCGATCTACCCCTGGAGACCCCCTTCCCTGGCTGAGTTTGCGTGGCAAAACTGCAATTCAAGAAACCAGCACCCGACGCACTCAATATGGCAGATGCAGCGTGCCTCCTCGATCCATGCAGGGGATTTTCTACAGCCCAACCACCTGAATAGATCCAAGTCCTTATGGGCAGCGGTGGAAACCCAGCTGAGACTTGCGACGCCGAGAGTCCAGTCAAGAAGCATACCTGGGGGCCTGCGAGGCAAGGCTGTGTGGAAGGTGGGAAATCCTTTCATGAATGAGAAAAACAGGCATCAGCAGACTTCAGGGACACTCTCTCTCTCTGGCACTGAGCCTTAGAGATGCATCTGAGTTTATCTCCCATTGGGCAGCAGGCTTGTTTTTACCTATCTGCATGTGGGTCATTCAGTTCTTGCCTAAATTGGGGGTATCCTGAGGGTCTCACTCTCCCATGAAACCTTGCTACGTTATTGATTTAACTCTCTCTTAGCATCTCCTCTCAATTCAGTGCATATGCATCTATTTGTCTCCTGTTCACAACTCTAGTACTGTACTGATTTGCTTTTATCTTGAATTTACAAAAAACAAATGTGCTGTTCCCTCTAAAATGACTACTAATGTTTTACTCACTTTTAGTGATGTCCCGAATGGTTCGCCGAACGGTTCGCCGCGGACGGCGAACATATGCGCTGTTTGGTCCGCCCCCTATTCATCATCATTGAGTAAACTTTGACCCTGTACCTCACAGTCAGCAGACACATTCCAGCCAATCAGCAGCAGACCCTCCCACCTCCTGGACAGCTCACTAAGAATGCAGCTTCACAATGAATGTAAAATGGATGCTGTCCAGGAGATGGGAGGATCTGGGAGGGAGGGTCTGCTGCTGATTGGCTGGAATGTGTCTGCTTACTGTGAGGTACAGGGTCAAAGTTTACTCAATGATGCCATAGGGGGCGGACCGAACAGCGGCGAACCGTTCCGGATACCACTACTAACTTTGCTTTTTCCTCAAAATGTTTTCTTGTACAATATACACTTATTTTGTCTTGTTATTTCATTTTATTGCAACCCTCAAAGTGTATAATGTGTTATATTTATTATTCTCAAGCACAATAAAAATGAAGAATACAAAAAATAAACAGAAATAAAAATTATTTAAAATAGAAAATAAAACATTGTGAGTACATCTTTGGAGGTGATCTTCTATTCATATTCTCACCAAAACTTGACACTCACCTAGTGTCAAAGTATTGTGTTTATTAAAGACGTTAACATGCTTAACCTATTAAATGACTTTCTAATTTATGTATTATTTATAATTATAGAAAAGGAGAAAGCTAGGGGTAGCACCACAAATACAGTAAATATACAGAGGAAATGTGCAATATCAGTAAAAATGGGCAAAAATGGTACAAAAACCTAAGTATATGCGAACAAATATGTCTAATAAAGTCCCAAGAGAAGCAAATATGTCCAATAATAAAAAGTCCAAGTTGTAGTGTAAAAATACACTTGCCGGGAAGGCTTTTCCACAAAAGTAAAAGATATATTGACACTAAATATATAAATGCCAAAAAAAGATCCACACACCACTCTCTTAGTCCCAAACAGTGAGTGTATACAATACTTGTAAATAAAAAGGTATACGCTGATGGTATTCCATGTACTTGAACCCTAGAATAACACAAAGCAGTACATAGCGTAGACTGTATATAGAAATAGTAATGATACAAAGAATAAATGAATCCACTCACAAATTCCAGAGCCGTGCCAGGCTCTGTGTAAAATGCCCCAGGGTGCCTATACAGGCTAGATGTGGAATCTTCACAAAATCCCTCAGAGGTAGGAGAAGCAGCCGAATGATGTAAAAATAAATACATTTATTTGTAATAAAAATATATATAAAAAACAACTACACAGGTTGTATAAAAAAGTGCAAAAGTAATGTAGTAAATGCAAACGCGTTTCAACTCAAAATCAACAGATAGGGAGTCCTTATTAACATACAGGGACAAACAAATAATAAAAAAACAAACTGAGGAACCCCTTTTGATTTTTGATTATAGCAGTGATGCTGGTCATGTAAAATCAATTATTAATAAGTATTGGCACATCTTACAAACCAATGAAAGTCTCCAGAATATCATCAGTGAGAAACCAAAAATTGTATACAGAGGTACGAAAAATCTTCAAACCCTCCTAGTTAAAAACCATATAAAAACTAATGCAATTAGTACCAATGTTTTTAATCAGAAGCTCGGTTTTTATCCATGCAAAATGTGCACAGCCTGTAAAAAGACAAAATTCAAAAAAGACACTCATATTAAATTTATGTCTAACGTATCACATAAAGATTACTAGATCAATTCAATTCTTACTTGTCATTCTAGCAACATGATATATCTCCTTTGGTGTCCTTGTGGTCTACAATACGTGGGAATGACCACAAGGACTTTGAAAACTCGTATAATGGAACATTTGGGTAACATACAAAGAGGTTACACAAAACACAGTGTTTCTATCACAATAGTGATCCTTCACTTATGAGTTTTATTGCTATAGCCCAAAAGAAAAAAGATTGGAGAGGTGAGGACAACTTTAAGGAACTTTGTAAAATCGAAAGTAGGTGGATTTTTGAGCTCAAAGCCTTATCCCCTAAAGGTCTTAATTTAGATTTTGAGTTGGTACATTTTTTATAGTACTCATTTTTTATAGTCATTATTTTTATTCCTTTATTTTTATTTTATTTTATTTTATTTTTATTTTTATTATTATTTATATTTATTCATCTTTTACTTTTATATAAATTTTTACTTTTATATTAATTTTTATTTTTATTTTTATTTTGATTTGTATCTTTATTTTTACTTTTAATTTTATTTTTATTATTATTTTTATTTTAATATTTATTATTATTATTATTTTTATTCTTGTTTTATTTTTATTTTCATTTATTTATATTTATTTAATTTTTCTTCTTTTTTCTTTTTCCCATTATTATCCATATTTTTATCATATATTTCTCAGTATACTTTTTTCATATATTCCTCATATGTGGGCTATAGTCATAATCTTTTGATGTGCCATACTATATTATACAATATATGTAACTTCCGTTTTCTAAGGTCTTGTGAATCTCATTGCACTGTTTTGTATGCACTTTTTAATGTTTTGCATTTGCATATATTTGATGTTTGTAAGCCCCTTAGAGCTGCCCACATACATAATGGCAGCTGATGCTTCAACTGGGCAGACGACTTGCAAAGAGAGAAGCCGAAAATATGAGCGCCGAAAAACCAGAAGTGACGTCAGACGCCGGCAAGCCGAACTTCCGTCCATGTGACCGGCAGCCGGATAAGCGGCATTTTTAAAGAGAATCAGCCAGATGAACTTTTCATGCACTGAAGAAGACTCGGACTGAGTTGAAACGCGTTTGCATTTACTACATTACTTTTGCACTTTTTAATACAACCTGTGTAGTTGTTTTTTATATATTTTTATTACAAATAAATTTATTTATTTTTACATCATTCGGCTGCTTCTCCTACGTCTGAGGGATTTTGTGAAGATTCCACATCTAGCCTGTATAGGCACCCTGGGGCATTTTACACAGAGCCTGGCACGGCTCTGGAATTCGTGAGTGGATTCATTTATTCTTTGTATCATTACTATTTCTATATACAGTCTACGCTATGTACTGCTTTGTGTTATTCTAGGGTTCAAGTACATGGAATACCATCAGTGTATACCTTTTTATTTACAAGTATTGTATACACTCACTGTTTGGGACTAAGAGAGTGGTGTGTGGATCTTTTTTTGGCATTTATATATTTAGTGTCAATATATCTTTTACCTTATATTTTGTACCTAAGGTGTTGGGGAACACTTTTCATTCCACCACTACCTGTGTGTTCCTTTTATTGTGTAAGCACCATTCACTTTTCAATTTCTATTGCTTTTTCCACAAAAGTGTCTACGGAATTCCTCAATGTAAGTACTGCGATACGTTCAGCAGTGGACTCCGTATGAAACAACAGAAAGGCAATAATAGAGTAGTATGTACATTCAGGAGATAACTTAAAGGAATAAGATATGGTCCTACTTACGTTTTATCGAGCTGTAACTAGCTCCAGTGTGAATGGCATACAGTGGTACAATCCCCACTTGTAAGGATACGTGAGACTGGTGTCTTTGAAGTATGTAGACCATAAAATATAAAAAGAAACAACAATAGTGTTCTCTGAATAAAACACCAGGAGTTGTAATAAATGAAGAATGTACTCATATTTCTCAGAGCAGGCAAACTGCTCTGTGGATAGGTCGTGGGTGGAATAATCCCCACCAGGTATGCCTTGAGAGTAGTACTCACTGAAGACAAAAATCAGGTGCCAGGCAGTATGAAGTAAAAACAATAAAATAGCAGCGACGGTAAAATGTAGAAAAATGAGTAACACGGCACACTCTGTAAAAGTGTAAAATAAGCCAAAATACATTTATTAAAACAAATTGAAGCAACATAAAAAATAACCACAACGCATTTCATCTTTGAGGCTTTTTCAAGTGGAGATTAAAAACTATTAGAAAAATTATTTATAATTATGCCTAAGATTTTCCCTGCCTAGGAGTTAAGTCTTTGCTTGTTTTTCAATGTCTTTACTGGGTGATCACTTCATTGAAGGGACATGCCAGGCACCTAAATACTTTAACTTGCTGAGATGCTTTATCTGTGAATAGCGTGTCCTCCAAAATTGGCACTTTTATAGAATAACCTTATTACACCCCCTCAGACACCTGGCTCTGTTACTTCCTGGTTTGGTTAGATCAGTGGAGCTAAACTCAAGATTCAGCAATTGTTTAGAGCACCTACCTTGTAAAAACTTTTCATTGAGCTGAATTTAGAAGTCTGTGCTTGGACAGCCTGAAAAGCTCTGGTAGGGGGTAGAAGGGGAGGGCTTGCAAAAGCAGCAGACAAGAGATGTGCAGCATTTGCAAGTTTTTTTTAGATATAGCCTTGAAAAAAAATGCATAATGAAATGCATACATGCATTTTATGTTTTGGGTTTCAGAAGTGGAGTGTCCCTTTAAACTTTACTATTCAGCACCCAAAATCAAATGAAACATCTTTTATCGATTGATTTGTCCAAATGACATTTTTGTTATTTCCAGTATTTTGTGCTGGATATATGACTGGCTTAATTTCACAACTCTATACGATAAAAATTTTGTTTATTTTTTCATTATCTAAATAGGTATTTTCTGTTGCATGTACATAGCTACTAGCTTCCATTATTATTTTATTATTATTTTTATTTTTCCGAATATCAGCACATTTCCTGCATTTGCTTTGTAAAAAAAGAAAAAAAATCCTCACTGAAAGGTTAATTTTAAACCATGTAAAAATATAATAATGCCTGCCACATTAATGTTTACCACACAAACAAACTTCTAGCTAAATGACATTCAAAGGATACTTTAGAAGAAAATTTAACAAAATGATCTTAACTGTTAAGTCCCAACAGATGTTTGAAAGCCTGGCCCATAATCCCCACACATTCTTCCAGTACCCAGGCTTTATACTCAATAATGGAACAGAATAATGTGCAGATTTAACCTAGTACAGTAAATAGGCCAGTAGCCATAGAAACCATATTAAAAGATTTTTGATACAGTGAAGGGATATTTCTTTGGTGGCTTGATTGTGGGCATGGAGATAGATTTTCATTAATTAGACTTGATCTTTGAAGAAATGGTATAACCAGGTCCTGGTAACTGCAGTGCTTCTATAATACAGGAACAACACACAATTATTTATAAAATATTTTACCGGGAAGAATACATTGATATTTTGCTCGTTTTCAGTTATGTCCTGGGCCCACAAACACTGCAATGTTACAATAGGGTACAATATAATATTACAAAAAAAATTATACAAAATACAATATATATACATACATACATACACACATATATAACTTTAACATATAACAGTTAATAAATACAGTCAACCATGACATGTGCATTCTGCATTGAGATATGTTGCCATAGATCTCTTGAAGGATTTTAGATTGAATGAAAATTTGACTGTGTCCCTGAGGTTATTCCA